TGTATTCTCGATGAGGATAAATCCTTCGCCCATTTAATAAAGCAATCATCCCGATAGTAACTATGTATTTTATATGAATATATAATCTACTTATCTCTATCAGCTTAACGTTTGTCCGTAAGGAGAGTGGGTTGAGTTGTAGAGAGAATCATTTTTATGTATTGGATAAAATAAGGTCACATTTCGTCTAGTCAGCTAGCGAAAAACCTAATTATAGGAAGAAAGTTTTGCTCTTAGATCGAGAAACAAAAAGTTGCAAACTAATACAGAAAAAGCGGGTGTAGCTCAGTTGGGAGAGCGTAAGACTGAAGTTCTTAAGGTCCTGAGTTCGATCCTCAGTAGCCGCATTTCTTTTTTAACGTATAATTTTTTTTTGAGAACACCAGAATAATAGTCGTGTACAGGCTCTAACTTCTAAGAGCCAATTTCACAAGCTGGCGCATTCGATGGAAAAATTTTCAGTAAAACCGCTAGTTCTTTCAAGTAGTGTGTTTCAAGACCCCGACATCTTAGATTCGATTTAATCGGGAGATTCCGTAGATTTGTTTTGTAATGTTATCACCAACAGATCTCAAACTGCAGATTGAATGTAGTTAATTTAAGTACGATACAAGCTTTAGATGCATAATCAATTAAAAGACGTTGCAGGTGTGGCAATTGAAGCCATAGCTTTGGCGACTAATGAGCACGCAATTTCAGTTGTGGCTGCTCTACAAACACCTTTTTCGAGCAAAACCACACCCCGAAGCGGCTTTTTTACCTTTCTGGAGTGTCCAAATACAGTAATAACCGCAGAGGTCACGTGATAATGACAAATTTTGAAACAAGATGATGTCGAGGTGGCAACAACAAGGTGTCGCCATCCTGCTGCTGCTGCTCATTTTAACATTAGCCAACTATACTTTTTATGAGTTTAGGCTTGAAGCCATAGTATAATCACCAAATCACCCCAGATTTACCCCGAAACGGATCAGATACTCTACTCCGGTGCCCACAAACATAAATATACCCCAGAATATTTATTTAAAAACTTCTTTCTTTTTGAAAATGTCTACGGTTCAAGTTCAAGTTCAAACTTCAACTGAAACAGATTTACCTGTTATTTCATCTAAAATTAGTGCCAGTAGCTCTTTAACTTTTGATGAGCTCATCATCAGCATTAATAAGATCTTGGGTGTCGATAAGGCATTAGACACCGATGATATTGACCATAAAGAGCTTATGAAGCTTATGAACTCTTACATCTCTTCCGAAGACGATTGGAGTAAGTTTGCCCACCATGATAAGTCTAGAAATTATACTAGAAATGGCGTTGAAGATTTTGGTATTGATGGTGTTAATGCCAATCTTTTGTTATTAGTTTGGAATCCTGGAAAAGGTTCTGTTATTCACGACCATGCTAAAGCTCATTGTGTTATGAAAATCTTAAAAGGTACTTTGACCGAAGAGCTTTTTGAAGAGCGTCATATCGAAGATGGAGCTGAAGATTCTTCAGAGACCGGTGAAAGAATTAAACTATTCAAAACCACTCCTTTACCAAGAGAAACGGTTGCTCATATTACTGATGATATTGGTTTACACCGTATTTCCAACAAGACTGATGAGATTGCTGTTAGTTTACATTTGTATACTCCTCCTTATGCTAAGAAGTATGGTTGCCATATCTTTGATGAAAACGGTGCCAAGCATCATGTTGAGATGGCAAATCTTTATAGCTGGAAAGGTGAAGTCCTCAATGCCAAAGGTCACTCTACTTGTTAAGTGATTGGTTTTGATAACGCTGACTCGCAGCTTAGACTAGAAATTATTCCTGTCTACTCAACATTGATTTCCAGAATTGCTAGTTGTTCGATTTTATTTCCTTCAAACCTGATTTTTCATATACACTTGATTTTTTTTATTTTCTTCATTTTATAACAAGCCCAAGAGGCTAATTCTTTTCCCGCTATTTCGCAGTTCGTTTTTCAATGTGTCTATATTCTTTTTTTTTCATACTTTTAACATCCAATTATAGAAACTACTATTTACAATCAGTAATCGTTATCTAATAGTTTTAAATAAGGTTAATATATAGATACATAATTGAAAATGATGAATAAAATAAATTTGAAAATACTAAAATACAAAACTGAAGTGTCGAAGAATCTTTTGAAAGCCATATGAGTTCAAGCTAACGTGGATTGTATTATTTGCTAACACCCCTGATCCAATACTGTGCTTTATCAGCCCCATTAACACCGTAAACTTTTTTGAATCTATTATTCAATTTTATTCCAAGTTCATACTTCTCTTTCTTCAAAGTTTCGGCTTTTTTGAATAGTTTTGATCTGGCATAAACTAGCTTTTGATATTCTATGGATTGATCTGCAGTTGGTGATGTTGAAGGAGGAATTATATCATCTAAAAATTTGATTTCTTTACCTATCTTGTGAATTTTTAGAGCAAGTTGGTCAAACTGTTTGTTCAGTTCCTCTAATTTAGATTCTATCACCGGACTTGCAATTTTGGTTGCTGTGAAATGAGAAGATGATCTTCTGTACTTTTCTATTTGTGCTAGATCTATAACTGAGATGTCTTTGTTTCTATTCTTGATAACGTTTAGTTGAGGAATTTCTTGATTCTCAATAACATGTTGGTCTAGACTTTGTTCTGCATTATTATCTAAAGTTGAGTCATGTTCTGTTTCTGCTGTTGTATCACAAGTTAAAGATTCTAGTGACTTAGAAGGAGGTAAAGAGTCTCCTTCAGTTGAGACGTAAGAGTCAATATATTTGTGTGGTTCACTAGCTAATCGTGTAGATTTTATAGGTTTTGTAACTGAAACTGAAACTGAAACTGGAACTGGGGGAGTAACGGATATAGGAGCAGCTTCAAACTTTTCAACTTTTGGCTTATCAGCAAGATCACTTGGTGATCCACTGAAAGTTTCATATTCTAGCTCAAGATCGTCATAATTTGAAATCAACTGAGAACTGAATGTTCTACTGGTTGTTAATTGAGTTGAATTAGCAAAATCACTTTCAGATTTGCTCGATTGTGGATGGCCCTTTGAGTTATCTTGACTATCAACAAGCGACAAGTTATCAACACTGTATTGTCCTATGGATCTCATTTCAGCAGTTTCCTCAACTGGATCGTAGTCTTCAAAATCCGAAGGAGATTGAGAGGCAACATCGGTTTCACTCATCTTTGGTGGAATAACGCGTTGACTGTTTAAATGTAGCAAATGGTTTATAAAGACAGAGATATGATATCTTGCCAAAAAGTCAATAAGTTAATTATAGTCACTTCAATTAGCAAATGGCACTTATTGAAAGGTGTATATGAAAAGATTAGTTCCTCTACACTAATAAACAGACAACATCAGATGGTTGGTTTCCATGGAAAGCAAAACAAATAGTTAGCTAGGTCGTGCACTCACGTAAACAACCGTGTTTTACCTATTTCAAACACGCTCTGAAAAATCATCGCGTGTTTGGTAAGAGCGTTTTGTGTGCGTCGATCGGGGTCTACATGTAATTATAAAAAGCTAACATTTTATATATTTTTCTTCAAGTTTTCTATAAGAGTGAGAGAAACGGGTCCATTATTAAAAGTAAAAATACAAAAAAGTCTAAAAAGCAAGAAAATCGAACTGAGATGTTTAAAAAAGCCATCTAAATAAATCATCAACTTGAAGATGATGATAATGTAACTGTAGCAACAATTGAAGTCAACGTAATTGTAGTATATGGTTCATCATCATATGAGTAAGTAGCCGAGGCGTCATCTTCCGCATAGTAAACATAACATGTACCACTCACCGCATTAGTTTCGTAAGCAGTGAAGTTACTGTATAGATCCGATGTTGATGAGGTGGAAGTCACAGTTGGAGAAGCAGTGGTAGAGGTAGAAGAGGTAGACGAGCTGCTTGTCTTTGTGGTAGAAGTTGATGTTTTCTCTGCCGTGCTAGAGGAAGTCTCAGCAGCAGTAGAGGAAGAAGAAGAAGATGAAGACTTTGTCGAAGAAGATGAGGAAGAGCCGGTTTCAGTGGTTGATTGAACAGTCTTGGATGGTTGTAAAGTCGTTGAGTAATCTGTTGTAGATGAAGCAGAAGATGAAGACGATGAGGAAGTTAAGGAATCCGAGGAGACCGAGGAAGATAAAGAAGATGAAGAAGAAGAAGAAGATGATGAAGATGAAGAAGAAGAAGAAGTTGAAGTTGAAGTTGAAATTGAAGTTGAAGATGAAGAGGAGGATGTTGATGAAGTGGATGAGGGAGTATCGATATCGGACTGGCTCAAGGCATAAGTTGAGGCATACTTGTAAGTGATGACTGCGGTTTTATCTTTGGCAACTGTGGAGGTATAAACCATTTCTAACAAAGTGACAAGTTCGTCGTTAATAGTAGTGGTAATAGTCTTCAGGTAGGTGGTTTCCAAATCTGTTGATGTTGAAGTCTCACTTTCTGTAGTGGTGGTATCAATTGAGCTGGATGAGCTCGAGTCTGATGAGCTAGAACTTGACAAAGTCGATGAAGTTGAAGAAGTTGCTGAGGTGCTGGTAGGTGGAGTACCAGTGACTGTTGTAACATATGTAGTACCATCCTCGGAGACTGTTGAAACATAAGTACTGTAATATGAAGAAGTAGTTGCAGTGACACCTTTCTTTGTAGTGGTTGAATAGATTGTAACAGGATTAGCTGTGACATAAGCGTAAGCTCTCTTCTTAATGACAACTCCCGTTTGGTATTCTGGCTCTTGATCTTCTTCACTCAGACCAACCACTGGATAAACAAGAGTAGAAGTAGTCGACGCATCATCTCGTTTTTCTATCAAGCTGTTGATTGGAGCAGACCAACAAGTTGCTGATAATAATGATAAGTAAACAAGTTTTGTGAATTGCATATTTAGGTGTTTGTAAGTTGTATTTTCTAGGGTTTCTTAGTAGTAGAATTTTGATTGTTTCAATTCAAGGAGCGAATAAAAGTTGGTTATTGAGTAGTAAATGAGTGACTAAAGTTGGATTATTGCTGTAAGTAGGAATCAGTGTTGTAACGTTATAGGAAACCAAGAGAAAAAAGCTGAAGTGCCTTTCTTTGAAGAAATGGTAGCACATCTGCGAAAAACCACTCAGTATTTATAAACTATTCAATCGAAGTCTAAAATTCAAACCGTAAGCCAAAGAGGTGGCTAGCTGAACTAGTTACTAAATCAATCATGATAGTTCAAATGAAACTTGATTAAATGTGGTTTAGATCACGGTACCTGGTCTAAATTAGTGCGAGGCTAGCTTTTTGTTTACTCAAAACGATCGATAAAGACCAAGCCGCACGCCATCTTCCTCTTTTGACAAGTGGCTGGATATT